GCTGGAGTCAATGAGGTCTTCTCCTTCCTGCAACCAAATCGCAGCCTTGAAGCTTGTCACATCCTGCCAGTCAGTTCGGGAGAAGACATGCAACGCCGACCCTGAGGCCTATAGGTTGCTGGAACATACTCGATCATTATATTCGGCAAGACTTGCTATCTGCGAACTCAACGGCGCCGGGACCCCTATCCCCAATGCCTGTCTTCCAGTGACCATCCCACCGCCACAGAAGAAAGGGATCTTTGGGTTTTCCCTAAAGAGTGAAATCCCGGTCAATAGAGTGGACCTTATTTCATCCCAGTTATTAGAATCCTGCCTCAGGTCGCTGGAGTCACGGCCCCAATGGTGGACTTCTTATAGCAACAATAGGCAGAATGCTTTTGTAATTTGTCAAGCCGCAAGAATAGAGAACGAAAGGGAAGAACTTTTGAACCTCCATAAATCAATATTTGAAAGTTCTAGCAAGCTCAATCAAGGCCTTCAAGAAGCCTTGCAGACGGCTATTATTGAATCTTCTCAGCATAAAGCCTTCATCCGTGAGATTGAAAATATGAGCGCTAGGCTGGTTCACGACATGAAAGAAACTCGCTCATATTTCAAGATTATGATAGAAAATGCTTTTATTGAGGTCGAAGCTGGGGCCGTTTCGGTTGTCAATACGGTTACCTCAGTGCTTGGAAGGGTTCAGGCTGGAGCAACAACCTTAGACAAGGTGCTAGTATGAGTGCCTTTCTCTCTGACATGGCTAACAAGTAATAGAATATTCGAAATGTATCCACTGAGGTTAACAAGTTGCAATACACTTTGCAAGATCTTCTGGGAGAAGTGTTAGTTAGAAATGAGCAAATCACAGCAGCTCAGCAACAGAATGCTTTATCGCATAATGATCTCGCTTTATCCCTCCGATCGAAGCTGGAATCCCTATTGCAAGATGATATGGCTAGATTGTTTCATAATATTGACGCTTTTGACTCTTCATTGGTAGGTGAGCTTGCTCCAGGCGAAGAATAAGTGTTGACTATCTCAGGAATGGCTCTCTTCGAAATTTGGCCTTCTATCCGAGCAAGAAATAAGCATATCTAAAGTTAGTGATACCCTAGAAATAAATAGAATGGTCTAACCCTCTAAAGCGTCTGCAAACCTTGGATATGTCATTGGAAGAATTCCAGTCAAGAGCCGAAAGATTACACAATGCGCAGTTACAACAGTCTGAAGCCATTGAATTCCAATCAAGGTTACAAGAGAGATTACAAAATAGTGTACAAATCTCGCAAGCTTTACTTGACAAAGCAGCAGCAGCTACATCCAATTTACAGGCGATGATCGACGAAGCATCCGCGCGGTACAAAGAAACCCCTGCGTATAGGCCGCTTTTTAGTACATACTCCTCATGGACCTTATTTGGTCTTCTTCTGAGTCTCGTAGCATCTCACAATATAAAGGCTGCATTGGCGATACTTATCATTAGTGCTTGTAAGTACCAAGATCCATATCCGAGATCACAATCAACTAATTGTGCCGCTCTTAGTGCCATTCATGACAACGAGAATACTATGATGCGTCTATGACTGTTATGCAAAGTCAATGGAAACTCCGCTATAACTATCCAATGTCACTTGACTCATACAATGATTTATTTTTTTAATTTTTCTTTTTATTTTCCATTTTCCTGTCTTCGTGGTTCGCACCAATTTCCGGGAACAATTGCAACGCGCGCTCCCGCAAGTGTCAACCATGGTGGCATAGTCTTGCTTTGCAGTACTTAATGATTATCATTTCTATTGTTGTTATCGTCTACCTAATTTAAATGGGCTCATAAAAGAGAATCTACGGCGTCAACACGTCCAATGACAAACCTAGTTAAGTGAAGCGCTCTGACAGATTAAACACCTGTCGACTAAACTTTCTTCGTCAGAGTGTCCTATATTACCCATAATTACCAGTACTATAATACGAGTACCTATTATAGGTTAGTATAAGCTAGACTCGATCAATACTACGGTGGATTGCGGTAAAAACTTCGGCAACCAGACGGTTTTCGGCAGCGATCGATGTAGATTTGATCCGGCCAAGCCTCGGCCACCCTGCCTATCTTAACATTTATGCAATATCTCCTCCATACTACTCTGTACAATTCTCCATGAAGCACCTCAACTCCATGTTTAAAGAAACAATGGCATAGTACGGAGTACAGGTATATCCGTATATCTTTTAGCAACACTAACGGATAGGTGCACCGCTGCCCGAATACTGGATGAGATGTTTCGAGCATATTCTACCAGGATTTAGGGTCGAGTTCCTTCGATGCCGGTTTGAACGCCCGATCCCCCCAAGGTATCTTAACTGCCGGCTTCCAAACCTTCAGGTGAGCGAAGTTCGAACATTCCCGCGGAACGTGTCACGACTCACGACGTGACTAGAAGGATTCTCCGCATCCTGTGGGGAACCCCATGCGATGATCTTTGAAATGTGGAGACCTCATCTAAAGATGACAGTGACCTGACCACTCAGTGCTGCTGGAAAGTCCGCCCCCTACCTCCGGCTTTTCCTTATCGGCAATGGAGTGCGTCACATCACTACCAAACGTCCGATATACTGCGATACAACTTGCCCAGTAGGGATCTCTCGGGCTAATACGTGGTGCCTACCCCCGGTCAAACTTCGGAGAAGTATAGATAAGGCACGGGATATAGTTCAATTTTCACGTACCGATGGAGTGAGACATCAATAAACATGCCCCATATTGTCAGCAATCTCCGGGATGTACATCAATAAACATGCACCGTACTGTCAGCAATCTCCGGTATGTCCGAATCAACTATATAAAGTCACCTAGCTCATGACAGAGATCAATGCCTTCGTGGATCACTCCCAGCCAACATGCCTTCACTTCGCCTACTTCTGCCTTTTCTTACGGCGAGCTCCGTCGCTCTGGCGAGCCAGAATGCGTTTCAAGACAAATGTGCGAGGTTTGCAGACAGAATAACCCTGCCTAATGTGCGAGTGAATTTTGTCAATTACGTGCCTGCGGGCACCAATCTTTCATTGCCAGATAATCCAACCAGTTGCGGCACAACTTCCCAAGAAGTGTCCGAAGATGTCTGCCGCATTGCCATGGCTGTTGCGACCTCAAACAGCAGCGAAATCACCCTCGAAGCGTGGCTCCCAAGAAACTACACCGGCCGCTTCTTAAGTACGGGCAATGGGGGTCTTTCAGGCTGTATGTTCTGCCCAACACCGCGATACAACCTTAAAAATCTCGAAACTAATGCCTCGTAGGTATTCAGTACTATGATCTAGCGTACACATCCGGCCTAGGGTTTGCCGCAGTCGGCGCTAACAGTGGCCATAATGGAACATCCGGGGAACCTTTCTACCAACACCCTGAGGTCGTCGAAGACTTTGTGCATCGTTCAGTCCACACTGGTGTTGTGGTTGGCAAACAATTAACAAAACTCTTCTACGAGGAAGGATTCAAAAAGTCGTACTACCTTGGTTGCTCCACTGGTGGTCGGCAGGGTTTTAAATCCGTTCAGAAATACCCCAATGATTTTGACGGGGTTGTAGCCGGTGCACCAGCATTCAATATGGTCAACCTCATGTCATGGAGTGCCCACTTCTACTCAATCACCGGACCAGTTGGGTCAGACACATACCTGTCCCCTGACTTGTGGAACATCACTCATAAGGAGATTCTGCGTCAATGTGACGACATTGACGGAGCAGAAGATGGCATTATCGAAGACCCAAGTCTTTGCAACCCGGTTCTTGAGGCTATCATCTGCAGGCCCGGTCAAAACTCCACCAGTTGTCTGACTGGCAAGCAAGCCCACACCGTTCGCGAGATTTTCTCCCCATTGTACGGAGTCAACGGTACCTTGCTTTATCCCCGCATGCAGCCTGGCTCTGAGGTGATGGCTTCTTCCATAATGTACAACGGTCAGCCTTTCAAGTATAGCACGGACTGGTATCGCTACGTTGTCTACGAAAACCCCGACTGGGATGCAACCAGGTTCACTGTCCGCGATGCTGCCGTCGCTTTGAAGCAGAATCCATTTAACCTTCAGACCTGGGACGCAGACATCTCTGCTTTCCGCAAGGCAGGCGGCAAGGTCCTCACCTATCACGGGCTCATGGATCAGCTCATCAGCTCGGAGAACTCTAAGCTTTACTACGCGCGCGTCGCAGAAACCATGAACATGCCTCCAGAAGAACTGGACGAGTTCTACCGCTTCTTCCAGATCAGCGGTATGGCCCATTGCAGTGGAGGTGACGGAGCGTATGGCATTGGAAACCAGCTCGTAACCTATAACGATGCCAATCCTGAAAACAACGTTCTCATGGCTATGGTTCAGTGGGTTGAGAAGGGCATCGCCCCGGAAACAATTCGTGGTGCCAAGTTTGCTGATGGCGCGGCTTCGGCCGTGGAGTATACCCGCAAGCACTGCCGCTACCCTCGCAGGAATGTATACAAGGGACCAGGGAACTACACTGATGAGGAAGCTTGGCAGTGCGTTTAGAATGCTGAAGCGCTGTACGTAAATATGCTTATATAGGCAAGACAAACCCTAAACTCGCAGTACACTAGTAAATAGAACAGAAATGAGAACATGGATCTGTATTTCATTTAGGTGGAGTGAACTTAATATATTTTTGGATTTGGGGGCAGTGATATTAAGGACAAGGTTAGGTAAGAGGGCGCATAATGAAGAAAAATAAAAATAAAAAAAAATAAAAAAAGGTTTAGTTTTCTGTTTCGAATATGCTGGTTGATGAGTCTGAATGAAAGATATATATCTGTGCCAAATTGGGTCTGAGCAACACTACTTGTGGTACAAGGTGAACTAAGGCTAGATATACATGAATTTACGATGTCTACGAAGGAACAAGATCATAAACGAAAAATGTACATACATATTTATGAACCAAGGGAAAAAAGAGGCCAGAAAGTAGACCTGCTGGGGAGGGTAGGTACCAAAAAAAGAAAAACAAAAAAGAAACGACACCTGTGAGATTCGAACTCACGCGGGCGAACCCACACGCTTAGCAGGCGTGCGCCTTAACCACTCGGCCAAAGTGTCTTGTTGTTGTATATATGGCTAACTCTCCAAAATATATAGGACTCTTATTTACCAATATTGATTAAAAACCACTGCAACTCAAATGCTAGCCAACGATCCACCAGACAGACCGCCTTGGAGCTGGGGCTGCCGTATCGCATCATAGGTTCCACCGTGGCTGGTAGAAGGCTAGATAAAGTCCGGTCATTTTGATGACTTCGTAGTCCTCCATTCCACGCACACATTGGCAAACCTTTCACAACCACTGGCCATTCAGGCTGAGAAAGTATTCCCCCCCCCTCTTCAGCATAGAGATTACTCACTGGTGACAAGCTGACTTGAAATCCCCACTCGCAGTAGCGATCGTTGATCAATTCCGTTCTTACCTCCCCGAGCTTACACGGGTCGCTCTCATTGGCTTAATTGTCTGCGCCGCGGGGGGCGCGCGTGCAGTGCTCCTTCAGATCCGCAGACATATCTGCAAGATATATTACGATTTACAACACCCCCGTTTCACGATTGAATCTCGAAAATGACCGATCCTCTTGCCGATACCCCTGCCATGGACGAATTTGCGCAGACTCGTGGTGGTGATGATCTGTTCGATGATGAAATCGTGCCTGTGGCCGCGGAGCCAGAGGTTCCACCCGAAGTCCACGCCCTGGAAGAGAACGTCGCATCGTTATCGTTAGAAACCCAAACCCCGCCACCCCGTACCGAAACTCCCCCACGGTCGCGCGGAGGCGAAAGGCGAGGACGGGGCAGGGGCAAGGGACGCGGTGGCAGACAAGGATCGCAAAATCCAGCTCCGAGGCGGGGTGATGGAGGCCCAAGGGCAAAATCCACTGATGATGCCGCCCAGAACGAGAAGAGTAATGAGGAACCCACCAAGGAAGCATCTGCTGAGGCGACAGAGCAAGCAAAGAAGGAAGATACAACGTCGGACTCTAAACCCTCCGCTGAGGCTAACGGCCAACGCGTGCCGGCTGTGCGCGGTGATCGGAGTGCTACAGGTGGGATAAAGAAGGTATGTTATGTCCTTTTTCATTGTATCGTAGGTTATTTTACTGACCGTTCCTTCAGCCGAAACTCACAGAAGAGGAGCTCTCTCAACGTATCGCTGCGGCGAAGGAGAACGCTGCTCGCAAGGCTGCCGCCCACGCCCGTGCTGAAGCTGACCAAGCCTCTTTCCTTGAACGAGAGAAGGTTGCCGAAGAAAAGCGACGCCAGGAACGCCAGCATCGACGTGTGATGGACAACGAACGAGAGCGCAATAGGCAGCGAAAACTTCAAGCCCTGGGCGGGAGAGAGTGGGATTCGCAGAAGCAGGAGGAAGATTATAACCCTCGCGGAGGTAGGGGTGGATTCCGACGAGGAATGCACGGTGGTGTTTCTGGATATGCTAGACGAGACTTTGGAGATTCGCAACCAGATGAGGAAACGAACAATCACCACCATAGCAGCCCTCGCGGCCGGGGCCGTGGCGGTAGAGGTGGCCGTGGACGCGGTCGTGGACCACGACCAGACATTCCACCATCCGAAGGCGCTGCAAATGAGTCCGGCTCCACCGAGAAGAAGCCCGCACCAGCTCCAGTCATCGATAATGAGGCCGAGTTCCCTTCCCTACCTGGAGGTAGTAAAAAGGAGAGCACGGTCGACACTGAATCTGCTGCGGCCAAGCTCGACGCGGTCCTATCGCCGATATCAACAGGCGGTGCTACATGGGCGGAGCAAGTGGAGAATAACTAGAAGCCTTGAGTCACGAGTCTACGTTGATCTTTAATCATGTTTTGGAGGACCTTTGTTATTGCGTGTACGGAATATTCCCCAAACTATTGTTATTTGCTATACTTCTAAACCTTGTTTACCCTTTGACCAAGAAATCGTCCGCCACCATTGGATAATGACACGCCCTCTCCATCCTATTATATTTCTAGACTATGTAATACATGTACATTAGCAACCCAATGATGGCTCTTAATCTTTCTGCGAAGTTACTACCCGGCCTATACCATAACTACCCAATTCGGTAAATCCCACAGTTATCACCGTGGCGGCCAATAAGGAGCACAACGTGCGGTCACTATGATATCACCGAGGTTATTATGTTGAAATATCCTCGAATATAAAAACGGCACTTCTCGATAGTTAACTCTTTATCAGTTTACACAAACATTGACTCAACCCGACAAATAAGTAAGTTGTGTCGTTAAAACATCAGGTGTACTTACCTCTCAAACCCCAAAGCGGGAATCATATACATCTATCTATCTATACCCACCTCCACCCCAAACTATATAGCTATATATATATACACAGCATTACACACAAAAAACAGGATCCCAAACGCCACTAACCCATCCCAGATTAAACCGAACCAAACCAACAAAATGTCTGAGGACCACAGTCACACTCACGAACACCCCTTCATTGGCACCGGAGGCGGCGGCCGACTCCAAGGCGACCCTGGACTCTTCGAGGGTGAAGGACATGGCCATATCGCTGTATGCTAGCCTCAGATATACTCATATTCTATTTGTTATTATCATACAGTTTTTCAGCTAACGGTGTGCCTGGGACAAAACCAAGTCACTCTCAGCCAAAAATGAGTTCTCGAGTCTACGAGATCAGAAAAGCAGGGCGGAGCACAATTTCATAGAACGGACGCATAGAGACGCCGGCGATCAAGAGGGGACGTGCGCGACTGAGGATCATAGTTTTATGACGCGGAAGCCTGGGGCAGTGTATGGGTGGGAGAAGGTGAAGAAGGATACTTTGGGTAATATGTAAGTGTGTGTGTGTGTTTTCTTTCTCCCATTTTCTTACTTTACTCTGCCTTCGGAATTGATCGTGGTTGTTGTTGGAAACTTTAGTGCTGATTAACTGATAGATTTGGTTGAATGGGTTATGATGACTTGATCGAACCTGCTTACTGGAGTTTTTGGGTATTGTGAAATTTTGTATAAGAATGCAATGATATATGGGTTGGATGTTATAAGGGGTGTGAAAAATACAACATATGTGCATTATTGATTCTATATATGAAAAGGTTATTCAACCTTTGTGCTTTTCCCTTTTATCCGATCCCGAATAGCCAGGACCTTGCCGGCGAGGCGGCCCTTTAACGTCTGTGATGTGAGCGCGGCTGCCTCTTCGGCAGAGACGAAGCGACGGACCAGGAGGTTGAATATGCTTCCGAACGCCAGAGCGATGACCGTGCTGGTAAGGATAATCACATTGTATGGCATGCTAAAATCCGGCGTGGGTAGCGGCAAAAGAAGGCTGGTTGTCCGAATGTAGATAGGGTTCTCATGTCCACCGAGTTTGATCACCGCTGGGGCAACGTTGAAACCACGATTGGCATCCGGTGGGTACTCGGTGTACCGCAGAATAGCTTTCTCAAAGTCATATGTAAGTGTTACACTCGAGGCTGCCGGAACCGACAAAGCTAGCTCTAGCTGCGTGCCGCGTTCTCTGTCAATCGCTGGGCGGTAGAAGGTCCCCTTGATGAGCTGCGAAGTGGGAACTTGTCGACGGACCCCATCACGTCCAGTGACTGTCGATTGTAGTGTGTGTACATATGGGCGCAAGAACCACGGGAGGGTCTCAAAATACATGAAGTCAACCGCCTCCGTATCGGACGGATTATCAAAGATGATCCGCATCCCACCCCGTTCCACCCCGTGACCAACGATCGTTCGCTCCGCACGCAAGACAGGTTCATCTAGAGGCACATGAGTTGTGGCTTCCTGAGCCGGCATGACTAGATCAAATGCGCTGGATGTCTGTAGCGTGTAACATCGAGTGAAGCCATCTGGTTTACGAGTCTCAACTGCGCCTTCAGAGACAGCGACTCCTCGTTCATGGGGTACGCGCAAGCAGATAGTTTCTTCGGAGCTTTGGCTGTCACCTAATGGGCAAACGCCACTGACAGTGCGCCCAAAGATTTCGCTTAGAGACCAGCCACCTTCAGAGGTCTTCTCCAAAGGATAACAGGTATCATCTGAATGATATGGCTTCGATGTATCGCAGGCAAGCTGATCATTAGGAACAGGTCGCGGGATTGGATTATCTAACATCTGTTAGGAGCTTTGACTAATGATGATAAGATCTGCTTGACTCACCTCGAGGCCGTTTCGACCTCTCAAGGTCGAGCACAATGTCCACAGTTTGTTCAATTTGAACGAGACAGCCATCTGGGCTAGAACAGACAGGACGAACATCAACCGCCATACTCTGCCAAGACGCATCGAACAACTTATGTCCATCAAGCAGACTGGCAACACCGGCCTTGCCTTTGCACGGTAGAAGTTTTAGAAAGGGGGTAAGGTTTTCTGTGCAGACAACTTCGCCTGGTAGCGTGCCATGCAAAAGATATAGGTTACTCGAATCCGAATGGTCTCCGGAGGGAGCGAAAGATACAACTGGTCGGGTAGTCCGAGTTGAGTCGATGAAGTTGAGCGATGCGCAGAACAAACCAGACAGAGACTGTGTTAGCGTAATCCACTTTGCAAACGCTCTTGGTCTTCGTCAGCATATACATCCAAGGAGGAAGATTCCGAATGATATTGCACGCACTCTTGGTCATCTGCCGCATCAACCCATGCCCACAATTCGACACCCGTATCTCCTTCTTTAACCCCATTCCAGGGGCGCGACCCCCAACTTTCAGCATCCCATCTTCCCGTGGTGAATCGCAGGTGTAACTCCTTGGTGTGGGCATGTTGCAATATCTGGCCTAGAGCACGGGGAAAGTGGCGAAAATTCCGCTCGTCAAAGGACTCTTGAGAAGCATTACTTCGGAAATTGAAGGACGCCAATAAAGATGACTGCGGCAATGGCTGCAGGGTGAGGCTCTCATGGTAGTCCGATGTCGCGTAGGTGAGCGAGGACAACGCGACAAGGAGATAGAGAGGAAGAAGAGAAAGGACAATCATTCCGTCATGCTTGCCAATGAGAAATTTCCAAGCACTTTTGTAAGAATATCTCCCAACCCAATATCAAGCCATGCACGGGTTGTA